AAACTGAGGAGGACCTGAAGCATTTGCTCCAGAGGGTCAAGGACTGTAGCCTCCAATATGGATTGAGGCTCAATGTCAAGAAGACAAAGATTCTCGCCACTGTGCCAATTGGCAGCATCAGGATGGATGGTGAAGAGGGGTGGGGTAGAGGGCTGAAACTCTGGACAAGAACTCCAGGAGTCCAGGCGCATGTGCTTGGCTGCAAATAAAAGGTGTGGTGGCTTGGATCTGCCAACTGCTCCTCAGGGTGAGGCCAGGCGGTGCCTTCCCTAAAGATTCACAACCCAGAAACTGACAGCGGGCGCACGGCCGAGACCCCACTCCATAGTGGTGGGCTGTTTGTTGGCTTTCCTTGTGTTTAGGGTTGTTTTAACACAGGCTGACCTTGGAGACACTGCACCTAATAAACAGAAGGCTGCAACTGAGCCACATGGACTTTTCAAGTTCCCAGGGCACACTTCCTATTGAGGTCCACTAAAAGACATGGTGGCATAGCACATAATGCATAGGGCTGCTAACCCAAAGGACAATGGTTCAAGTCCATCAGGCACCCTGTGAAGGAAAGATGGCCACCCCAGAGATTTATAGCCTCGGAGAGCCAATCAAGGGCTGTCACACACTTGATGGCACTGGCTTGGTGTTCTGCTGGTGAAAAGTGACAAAATGGGACCCAGGGACAGGAAGGATACACATGTTGCTAGAAAAATGACATCTGTAGACGTGGTGAGGCAGGTGGCTACAGACCAGCAATCTGTAAGAAATAAAGTTTCTTGTAGAACGGGATCAACATCAGGGTTGGGGTGAGACTGAGAAAAACTGGATAAATTATGTAGACTGCATTGAAATCGATGAGGGAGAGAACAGTTTAAAAGCGATATATGATTGGGTATTATGGTCATGAAAAGAGTCCAGGATGAAGGCTGCATATTGGAGTGTACTCAGGGGATGGGGGTGGGGGAGATTTTATACCAAGGAAAGAATTTTTCTTTTACTTTTCAAAGAGAAGAGCAAACTGGAGTGGGAGGGGGGACAGGGAGAAAAATGCAACGAGTGAATGGAAATCCAAAATCTCTGTAAACATTCATCAAAATTAATAAAATAAAATTAAATTTTAAAAAAAGAAAGTGTCTGTGAAGAGTTGGAGAAAGCATGATCAAATGAGCTCTGCCTACACAAGGGGCTGCGGCCCCACATGGAGACAGAGGCACCCGTCTGGAGGCATCAGGGAAGGCTTCCTGGAGGCGGTGCTGGGAAAGCTGAGCTGAATGGCAGGACGGAGGGGACAGCTGAGCATTTGGTAAGAGAGGGAGGCACAGCCCACGAGGGTCCCACAGGAGGGTCTCAGTGACGCCCAGGTGAGCGGAGCCGCGCAGGTGTGAGGGGAGGGGTGGACCCACCTGAAGCAATTCCGGTGGTAGAGCTTGCCGTCCACCAGGTGTCGCTGCACAAGGTGCACGTGCTTGCCACAGGCAGCACAGATGCTGCTGACCGAGCTGCCCAAGGGGGCCAGGCCCTGGGGAGGGGAGTGGAACCCAGCTGAGGTCTATTTTCTGCCCCCCTCCTTCAAGGACAGAAGTGAAATCCAGCTCCAAGTCCAGTGCCATGTTTTACTCTAGCTGTACAGAGCCAGGTGTGGCAGTTTTGGGCAGCACAAGCTATCCCAGCCTCAGGCACCATCCCTAAAAGTTGGGTCCCCTGCTCCCTTTTGCATGGTGGGTACATCAGCATCCCTTCCTGGCACTGCCCGGGGAGCCTGTAGGGCCACAGCCCTGAGGACAGAGCTGAGTCCAGAAAAGCCAGGTGTGCGTCTGAGCTCCGGAGCCCCAAGTCTATCCACCTGCAGAACGGGTTATAATGCTGACCACACACAGCTGAAGTGGCTCTGGGCTCTTGTGAGGGGCACCGGCGCTATGCCCTGGTTCCTGGGGAGACGTATCCCTTTGTTTTACTTTGAGGTCCCCACTCCCATGAACTCCCCTCGATGGGAGCTGTTAGAAAATGCGGAAATAGAGCAGGTGGGAGAGCTTACAGCTTTGAGGGGCGGACCCTGTATCCCTGTAGCCCTGTTCTGGATGACGGACAGTGGCGGGCCCCGGGGTGGGCCAGCTGAGGCCAGCTGGGCTGGAGCTTTCTTCCCGGATGGCTCCTCCATGGACTCTGTGGAGGGCCTCTTCACACCAGCCATGCCCCCAACTGGAGAGAGAGAAATGGGGTGAGGGTCTGGTCCTCTGGGGGGGGCAATTCTGCTAAGAGTGTAAATTGAGAGAGGCAGCCCCAAGGCAAGCCCTGCCTCCTGTCCCCTCCCCGCTGTGAGGGGAGAAGGGACCTTCTGTTTCCCAGGACGAATGGGACATGAAGGCTACTGGCCCCCTGCCCAGTGATCCTGGGGAATTCTAAAGCAGGACGAGGAATGTGGGAGGAAGGGCTGGGATGAAGAGTCCTGGGTGAGGCGGGGAGCCTGGGCCTGCCCCCCCCCCAGGGCTGGACAGAGACAGGAAGCGGGTGCTGGAACTGGGCCTGGGGCCCACCTGGTCACTGCCAAGCCACCTGGAAAAAACCGGGGGCACAGAGCAGCGGGGTACAGAGGGGCACAATAATGCCTGAGGAGTGGAGAGGGTGTCTGGGGTTAGGGTTTAGAGTTTGAAGTTAGGGGTAGTGTTAGGGTGGGGCTGGGACTAGAGTTTAGGGTTTAAGGTTGGCACTGGGGGCTGAGGGTAGAGTTGGGAGTGGAAGAGGGAAGGGTAAGCTGACTCCTTGGTGGGTTGCGGACTAGGGTCTTGCTCATCAATTGTAGGTGAAATGGGGCTCTGGCCCCCTAGAGAGAGGCACAGCTTTGGGGGGGGCCTTGGAAACTATCAAGTCCGGTGGGGACCAGTGGGGAGGGGCAGCACTCACTGGGGGAGCGGCCGTGGAAGTAGTTGTAGTACTGGGATGCATATGTCAGGATGCTCAGCCGGTCTGGTACCTTGAGGGCCACCATGTCCTCTGCATCCAGCAAGGCCGGGATACCCAGCTTCTCCTCAGCCACGGTGAACGCCTGGAGGGTGAAGGGGGCAACAGTCAGCAGGGACTTGGAGCCCAGCTTGGAGCCCAGAAAGGTCCACTAGCTGCACGGCCTGTGGGGGGACACAGTCCTACCCAGGCAGGCCAGAATGGTTCAGGGCCTGGGTGAGGCGCTCTCAGGAACAGAGGGCTAAGCTTTGGGGACATCAATCCCAGGGGACACCCTAATGCTGACACACCACAAGACCACACATTCGGGCTGACTAGTACCTTGGATGGTCAGGATTTAGGGTCCCTGTGGAGGAGCTGTCCTGCTCAGACCCAGACCCTCCTTGGGGCCGGAAGGGACACCAAATGGTGTGTCCTTGGAGTCCAAGCAATGGGGTGGACCCTAGGCTGACGGTAAATGAGTGGGTGGGGGCAGCTGGACTGAGTCACCTGCATCTATAGAATGCCTACTGCATGCTTGCACTGGTGGAAGGTGAGTGAAGAAGAGGAAGACCCTCAACTGGGTGGACTGACATGGTGACCACTGCAGTGGGCTCTGGTGTGTCGGAAGTGTGAGGTGACACAGGACAGGACAGGGTCCAGATCTGCCCTTCACAGGGTCATTACGCTATGAGTCGTACTCAACTCTATGGTACCTCACAATAACATCAACTGCATACTGGGCATTTATAGAGCACCTACTGCATGCCGGCGAGCCCTGGTGGCTCAATGCTTTACACCCTAGGCTGCTAACACCCTTATCAACCCATCAGCAGTTTGAATCCAGCAAGGATAATCAGCCCTGCCTACGAAGGTCTGCAGCCTTGAACCCACGAAGGGTTGCCCCAAGTCAGAATCAAATCAATTGCAGGCAGTTATCTCTGGTCTAACCAGAGGGTTCAAGGCTGCAGACCTTGACACTGTCAACAACTTCATCTTGCTTGGACCCTCAATTAACCCCTTTGGTACAGCAGTCAGGAAATAAGGAGATGCACTGCACTGAGAAAATCTGCAGTTAGGAACCTCTCCAAATTACTGAGGAGTAATGATGTCATTTTGAGGACTAAGGTGTGTCTGATTCAGTCCACAGTCTTTCCAATCACTTGCTATGTATCTGAGAGCTGTACAATGAATAAAGATGACAAAAAAAATAAGATGCCTTTGAGCTGTGGTGTTGGAGAAGAGCTCTAAACATCCCATGGACAGCCAAGAGAACACACCGTTATGTCTGGGAGAGGCTGCAGCCGGAGTGCTCTTTGGAGACAAGAAAGATGAGGCTTAGTCTCACATATTTTGGACGTTTTGCTAGAAGGGGCTATTCCTTGGACAGGGACATGACGCTGGGAAGGGTGGAGGGTCAGAAAAAGGAGAGGAAGACCCTCGACCAGGTAGATTGACACGGTGACTGCTGCAGTGGGCTCTTGTGTGTCAGGAAGTGTGTGGATGGCACAGGACAGGACTGGGTTCAGATCTTTTGTTCATGGGGTCATTGTGAGTCGTGCTCAACTTGACAGCACCTGACAACAACAACAACAGCAACCTCATCTCCGGTCTTGCGGTTACTGCTCATGAGGCTGACCCTCACCCTACAAGTGCTGACCCCAATAATCCCCAAATCCACGATGGTCTCAGCCCCCAGCCCCACAGCTCAGCACCCAGAGGGCTGGGAAGAACTGACAGATGGGGACACAGCCAGGCCATGCCCTGTAGCTGGAGAGCAGGCAGCCAATCTCTGTCCTCCTGGCTGATCTTCATGCCTGGCCATTCCAGAGGCTCCACACACTTCTCACCTATCAGGTGACCACAAATGGACACACAGTTCCCCACACCCATACGGCGGGCTCTGGACCAGCACCCAGGACCCTTCCCCAGCTCTCTGTTTCCCCTCCTGCCTCACAGCTGCCCTGTTCAAATCGCAGCCCCTCTCTCCCCCAGCCTCACACCTGAGAGCCACCTCACCTTCAAGGCCCCAGCATCCTCAGAAACCACAGGGGGGGACACTGAAAGACGTCCCTACACTCCCACCAGGGTGCCCAACTCCACTGCCTTTCCCTGTGCCGAGACCCGCCCCTGTACCTCTCACGCTGGGCCCCCTCAGCTGCCTCTCCAGCACTTGATTCCCATGTGGAACTTGCTGGGCAATCTGAAATGGCCCCCATTTAAAAACAAAAGCCACCTTGGCAAGCTCTGGTGGCCTAGTGGCAAGAAGCTGCACTGTAATACCAGAGGTGAGTGGTTCAAATCCACCAGATGCTCTGCTAGAGAAGGAGGGACAACCTCCTCCTGTACCAGTCAGATCCAAGTTGATGGTACACACACACACACAAAAAAAAAATTTAAAAAAAAAAAACAAACAGCTACCCATGCCCCTTGTTTTCAGCAAAATGCCCTGCCCAGATCTGCTGCTCAGACTCCCCTCCACGCCCCCACCCCGTGCTGCAGTCCTCTTGGCACCCAGCTCCATGCCACCCTCCCCCCATCCTGTGACTCAGTACATTGGTCAGCCTGTGGCCTGGCCTCCCTCGGTGACCGGAGGCTAACCTTGATGGTCACTCCTTCCCCTGGACCACCTCGCTCTGTCCCCCACCAGCTGCCTTATGAATGCTCTCATGACCACGCTGCTTCCCCTCACTGTCCACCCTGCTTTCAACCCTACCCAGAAGCCAGGGTCCCCAAGCTCTTAACCCTCGTCCTTCCTAAGGACCAACCTGACATGGTTGTGGACATTACAACTGTGTCCGAAACAGGGATCCACAGTCCTGTACCCATCCTCATCCACACCCCATGCACACTCAGACCCCCTCTAACCCACCTTCATCCACACCCCATCCGCCCTCAGACCCCCTTCTAAAAAAATCCATCCCCATCCACACCCTATCCACACTCAGACCCCCCTCATGCTCATCCCCACCCCATCCGTGCTCAGACCCCCCCTTCTAACCCACCCGCATCCACACCCCATCCACACGAAGACACCCCCTACTACCTCCCTCCACATCCCTGTCCACACTCAGGTGTTATGAGCCGTGGAATCAGAGCTGACCACCCAGCAGGTCCTCAGAGGAGACAGTGAATCGCAGGGGAGGAGCCTGCCCGCCTCCCTCCAGGGGAGCAGAGGAGGATCCGAACCACATGCTCTGGGATTACAGTGCAGCTTCTTCTCACCACTAGGCCATCTAAATCCATCCAAGCCCAGACCCTGTCCACACTCAGAGCCCCTTCTAATCCATCCATGAGCCCCGTCCACGTTCAGCCCTCAGCCCCTGCACCTCCTTCTCCTGACGCACCCCTTCTGGGGCCCTGTTCTGCCTCCCCACAGCCCTGCTCCCCTCGACACCTTCTCAGGATGGCCCAGTGGCTCTCCCGGAGGTGATGGAGACATGGCTGGTGCAACCTTTCATTCTTTTCTGTTGTCATATATGAGCCACCGTGATGCAGTGGTTATAAAGGATGGTGCTGCCAGCTGCCAGGTCAGTGGTTCAAACTCACCACTTCAAGGAAAGTTAAAACCCCGAAGCCCCAACCCCATGGCCAGCACATGAACTCCAACGCCTATGACCTGCACCGGGGTTCAGAGCTGGCCAGCTTCCTCTTGTGGTTTCAAATCACTGGCCTTGCAGTTTGTAGCCCACACAGCATGTTATACCCACCAAGACGAAGCCCTGGAGACCAGGGGGCGGCTCTGGCTGGCCCACCGGTGTCTGAGCACAAATCCCTCAAGAGCAGTGGGATACATCACAGGTTTTAGCTTCAGGGGCCCAGAGACTGTGGCCCAGGGTGATTGGCACAGCCCTTGCACATCTGCTGACTGCTTGCCCCATAACAAGAGTCATGGGGGACACACAGAGGCAGCAAGGGGCTGAGGGACATTTGCTGAATGAATGAATGAATGCTCTCTTTTGGCCCAGGAGCTGATGGTGCAGCAGGGAAACTGAGGCAGGGCACAGGGCTGGGTGTGGATGCCATGGCTGGCCAGTCAGTCATACACGCTGGCCCCCCAGGGCTGTCAGCTTTACAGAAGCAGACCCCCTCCACTCAGAGCAGCTGCTGCGTTCAAAGCAGCGGCCTTTCAATTAACAGCCGAGTGTTTAATCCCTGCACCACCAGGGCGCTGTCTTGAGTGCAGCCCTGCCTAACCCCAGGCCAGCTGTGGGTGCAGCCAGGCGAAGCTAGAAGCTGGTCACGTGCGGTGGGCCTCAGCAGCTGGGCCTGCCAAGGTCACCTCCTCCTGCTGGCCTTGGGTGGGCTGGGCTGGCCCAGGGCACGGATGAGGGTCACTGGCCACTTCCTGGCCTTCCCTTCCAGGCAGGGTGGGCAGACCCTGGACTCCAGGGTCTCTCCAGGGCTGGCTATGGAGCTCAGAGCAAGCCCAGATTCAGGGCGTGCAGAAAGCCGGCCCCTCAGGTGCCCTGTGGACCCTGGACCCGGGTGAACAGCTGGCCCAGCTCAAGGTCCATGGTGGCAAGGGTAGGTGGGGAAAGCAGGGGGCTCACCAGCTTGTTGTTTTCATAGATATTTTCCTTCCTGAGGGCATCGAAGTTTCTGGAAGAGAAAAACACACGTGTCCACAGCCACTCAGAGCCCAGGAAGGTGGGGAGGCCTCCAAGGTCAAGGTCATCCCACCCAAACAAGGCCGCTGGGGTGCGACCATGAGGCAAACCTGAAGATTCAGACCAGAGACCAGACATGCCCAACACACCATCACCTGGGGCACAGATGCCCTCAACCTCCCCCCGTCCAGCCTGCCTGGGCCAGCCCACCCGATCCTCACCCCCATCCTCACTCCAGCAGGACTAGCCAGACCAAGGCCCAGATAAGTCAAAGCCACCAGACCAAGCTGCCTGATGAGGACACAGGGCTGGCAGTCACCATCGGGGTTCCCAGGGGAGGAAGCCAAGGGCAGCCGGGAAGCCATATGTCTAACTCACCGAGGTAAACGCTAAAACCAACAGCAAGCTCACTACCATCAAGTTCCCAGCCCAAGATGACCCTTAGCACAGAGCAAAACTGCCCAGGGAAGTCGAGGTCTTTCCCATCGTCCACCAGCTTGTCCCATTCTTTGGGGGACAACTCCCACCCGTAGGTAATGAGGTCCAGATGTTTGGACCACCAGCCAGCACAGAGGGGCATAGGCACAAGGGCAGCCCCAGGGGTGCAGGCAGAGCCTCTGGTATGGAAGGCAGAGAGCACGCCGCCCTAACCCCCACCCCTGTCCAATGGCCACCCTCTTCCCCCCACCTCGGGTTTACCATGTCATTACCACAGGTGGGTCTGAGGGAGGTAGCAGTCAACCTCCAGGGCCTAAGACCCTCGGCCTTGCCCTCAGCTTCCCCCACAGCCCAGCCTTCTCCCCCTCCTCTCCCTACAACATCCCAACCCCTCCCCAGACTAGTCCCAGCCCCCATCACTGACAGGAGGTCTGGCCAGAGGGCACAGGGTTACAGGTCCTGTTTTGTCTCAAAACATAGAGTAGATTCCCTTCACTGTCTGTTTGGCCTTTAAGGGGCCACTTCCCTTCCCAGATGGACCCAGAGCCAGCCATCTGCCCCCCATCTAGTCTCTCCTGCAGGCTCCTGAGGTCATGCTCCAAGCCCCAGGCAGAGCAGGGCACCCTAGTATAGGGGGCAGAGTGGGACATTCCAGAACAGGAGATGGCGGGGGACACCCAGGACAGGAGCAGAGGAGGACATTCCAGGATAGAAGGCAGAAGGGAACACCCCAGGACAGAGATTCATCCCAGGACAGGAAAGCCAAGGTCATCTGTGTTCATGGACTATACCCTCAATAATTCAAGTTTGAGGTCTTCTTCAGGGTGGAAGTGGAGTAGATGAACTTCCCTGTCCAGCGTCATGGCCCCCAAACCGCTCTCAGTCCCTGGCCACTGCATCCTTTCCATCTTGACCTAAAGTTTCCACCATGTCCCCATGAATCCCTGGGACCCCCACTCTGTCCCCAAGGATTCTCTCAAAGCCCTCATTACGTCCCCAAGGATCTGCTCAAAGCTCCCATCATGTTCACAAAGATCCCCCCCAATTTGGTGGAGCCAGCTGAGCCTCTGGGTGGTGGGGCCACAGCCTGTAGTGCCCAGCACCACCCCCATTCTTGGAGCTGAGCAAGGTGGAAAGTTAAACCCCCAGAAATAGAGGTGCCCAGCTCCACATTCGGGGAGCACCTTAGAGACCCCCATGTGCCTTCCAGAAATGTTCCTAGCACAGGCCCAGCTGGGTTGGGCAGGGGAGACCGTGGTCTCTTTTCAGTTGTGTCTTCACCGTTGGACATCAAGTCCAATCCTCCAGCAGGTTTATGAGGCCGTATATCGCACAGGAGGAGATCACGCAAGTGTGTCTGAGCCCCAGAGGCCACGTCTGCAGGAAGCTGCATGGCTGACACAAAGCCAACAATGCGTCTCTCATGGTTCAAATCTCCCGTGGGAGTTACAGCCTCAGAAAGCGCTGGAAGGCCAGCTACTTACTTCTCGACCGCCCTGAGGTGATGACTGTGGAGACAGATCTATAGGAAATGTCTCAGGCAGGTCCAGGCGGAGGCCACAGGAACTGACCCACAAAGCAGGCCACTGGTCCAAGGAACTAGCAAGGTAATTAAATGGCAAAGCAGATGGCGGACAAGCAAGACTCACTTATACACTGGTGAAGGCCACACCCCAAGGAAGTTCCCTTCCACCCATCGGCCTCTCATAGCGAAGTCCATCTGTGAAGTGATTACACTCAGTCAGGCCTCCTCAAGGGAGTGACCACAACACACCCACCAAACCAGAAAGCTACAAGCAGCCAAGCTCAGGCACCCCAAGCCTTCACCACCAAGCAGCACCCCTACACGGGAAAGGGGGAGTGCAGGAGCACTGCTATTACATTGTAGCACTGCCGCTACATTGTAGCACTAGGAGCTAACAGTTACCCACAGAATGTGTACACCTGTACCCATTGAACCTAACTTGCTCTGAAAACTTTCACCCAAAACCACACCCTAAAAATTATGGAACTTGCAGTAGTGTGGCCCTGGAAACTGCTAGGGTCTGCGGACAGCGAGCTGGGACAGAGGACTGAGGTGGACTCACTAACCACAGAGCCAGGAAGTTGAGCACTTTCTTCCTGGGGGCACCTGTGTGCAGAAGCCAAGGTCAGGAGGGTCAGGAGTGGCCCTGGTGGACAGATGCTTGTCTTCCCTCCTGGCTGTTCCTGTGCCTTCCACGTGGTTCTGACCCTGATATACAGCCTGTTACTGCCCTGGTGACCCCTTGCTGTGACCATGGGCTGAGTTTTGTGTCCACAGAGCCCAGAAGAGAGTGCTATGCAAGGACAAAGGGGAGCTGGGGAGAACCTGAGGGGGGACATCTCTCACAGGAAGCCCCCTTGAGGGTGTATCTTGATCCTTCTCTCGCCTCGTGAAGCTATACGAGGTCTGATCCCACCCTGTGACAGGCAGCCAGGTGCACAGGTGGTCGTGGTGTGTGCTGTGGAGTGGGAGTCAACTCCTGGGTGTGCACTGGAGAAAACTGTCCATAGAGCAGCTGGTGGGTTTGAACCACATACCTCTAGGTTGGCAGACCAACTTCTTACCACTAGACAACCAGGGCCAATGCACTACAAATGCTTGTGGATAAACATTCATTTAATATGGTCTAAGAGAGGGGACACTGTGTGACAGGTTTATTCTTTCAACACTAACTGGAGCATTACTTCCTTGAGTCTACACTGGCCCCTGGTGGTGCACCATGTTAAGTGTTGGGCCCTAAAGGCCAGTGGTGGGTTCCACCCACAGCTACTCAGGAGAGAGGCTTCCTGCTTCCGTGAAGATGACCTCACAGACACTCAAGGGGAAGGTGGGCTCTGTCCTGGGGAATAAGTCAGAATTCACTCAACAAAGAGGGGGAAGGGGGGCGTACCTGTCAGAGCCTCACGTGGGAAGTGCCCTTGGCTCATAACAGAGAAGTGGGCACTCAAGTTTACCCAGAGGTGCTGGGGAGAAAGGCCTGGAAACTCACTCCCAATAAATCAGCAGGGAGAGCTCTAGAAATCACAGCAGTGCCAACCCCCAAACCCCCAGCAGGACACTGGTCCAGGGGACAGTGCGGGGCTGGGCAGGGCTTTATGCTGTGGTCCATGGGGTGACTGTGGGATGGGGCTGACAACCCTCAATGGTCAGATGTGACCTCTGTCACCTCCCACCACATGACTCATACGACTGGCCTCCGGCCCTTGGGGATAGTTGGCCCCCAAATTCCTGATGTGTTGACCACATGCCTCTGGCTTATTTCTTGGAACCAGAGGCAGTCCCTGAGGTGGTTCTGGGGGGAGTCTGCCTTCCTAAGGCCCCCAGCACATCTGGAGTTAATACAGCTGAGAGGGGAGCAGGAGGGATGAGGGAGGGGGGCAGAGACAGTGAGGGACAGGGTAATTAGGAGAGAAACTGAGAGCAACAAGACAGCAAACTGGATTAGAAACTAAGGAAGAGAGAGACAGAGACAGGGATGGTGTAGAGGACAGACCAGGGACAGGGACACACAGAGGGAGGGAGACAGAAGGGGAGTGAGGCAGAAGGGGGTATGGGGAGAGGGAGCAGAGAGAGAGAGTCCCAGACAGAAGATGGTGAGAAAGGGAGACAGGGGAAGCTAGTGAGGGGTGAGAGCCAGCCGGATACAAAGAGGGAGAGACTCAGAAAAAGAAAAGGGGAGGAGAGAGTGAGAGGGGAGCCAGAGAAGGTGGGGGATGAACATGGGGCTGAGGGAGTGTCCAAGAAAACGCAGCCCCAGGAGTTAGACCACCACGGGGCAGACCCAGGCGGTCACAAGTGGAGTGGGCAGCAGGGGCGCATTTAGGGACAGGCAGGAAGGAGCAGGCTAGGGCAGGTCCAGGCCCTCAAGTGCCCCATGCCCTACCCTGGTTGAGCCCTCCACCCTGAGCAGCCCTCTCCCACCTAGAGCTGGCTCTGGTCATGGAAGTGAGGGCACTGGCTCTGGAGGTCCCGAGGGCCCTGCACAGCCCTGACAGGAAGGCATGGACAGTGGCTGGGCAGTGGGCCCAAGGGTGAGAACAGAAGGCCTCTGTCCCCAACACGGCTCCCTGCTGACCTCTCGGCCAGCGTGGGAGGTGAGGTCCACACTGACTGGCTCTGCAGCCACCCTCCTCGCTGCTCTGGGCTCTGTGGGCCCCTTCTGACCCCAGCCAGAGGGACTCCATCTCAGGGAGCACTCAGATCACCCCCCTCCTGCATCTCGGGGCAGGAAAGCCCACAGCACACAGCTGGACTCCACCTTCCTGAAACCTCATCTGGGGCCCACCCATAATGCACCCCTTTCCCAAAATACCTAGGGGACAGAGGCAACACAAAGTCCCCTGTGGTGGGGTCTCCCAGTCTAGCACATGTACCCCCACCCATGTCCTCTGCTGAGAGGGCTCCTGGCCCATCACCAATCCCCTGTGCCTTCTGCTCTGGGGATCCAGGCTCAGAACCCTGTTTCCCTGCCCTGTAGCCCTTCCAGTCCCGCCCCTCCCCTCCCAGAGCTGGTCACCCCAGGAGGAGCCTGGCCACTCCCACCAGAGACTGGTTTACAGAAGAGGGAAGGGTGGGGCCCAGAGCCCAGGTGCTTTCCAGGCTCACCTGGCTGCAGAGGTGACATCAAGGGGGCGGTACTGAGGGCAGAGTGAGCCGGCCCATCTAGAACCTTCCTGGCCTCCAGCTAAGAGCTGTCAGTACCAGGGGGCAGGACAGGGGCTGCAGGAGCACTAGGCAGGCAGCTGGATGACAGGGCGGACCAGGCAGCAGCATGTCCTGAGTGGGCCCACAGAGGCCCAGGCACCTCTCCCCCGGAGAAGTGCTGATCAGGGCAGGGAACCTGTGCTGGATGGGGACACCATGACCATAAAGTCCAAGTTTCCTGACCAGCCTGCATGCTTGGGCCCAACAGTCACAGGAGGCACTGAGACTGGCCCATTGCCCCACTGAGCCCTCTTCACAGCTGCCCTTTCTAAGAGGAAACAGCTCTGCATGCAGCAGGAAGGACCACGATTAGACAAAGAGAGAAACTTCCTGGTGGCAAAGCTAGGAGATATTGAAGCAGGAAGTCCACATCCAGAGCTCCTTCAAAGGGAAGAGAGTGGAGGACAGGAGGTGCCAGGGAGCTACACCCAGGCCAAGGTCCATGCACCCAATGTCTGACTTTGGACTGGGGTCCTTCCCCACGTGTCTCTGACCCTGGAGGCTACTGGTGAGGGCCATAGGGCAGCTCAGGGGCTCTGAGACTGGAATGATGGGGTCAGGCCAGGTGGGGTCCCTACCCCAGCCCCCACCTCGCCCAAGGCCAGGACCAGATGAGGACATAGAGGGGTGAAGCTGACCCATAGGCAGGTGTATCCACATTTAACTGCATTCACAACAATCTCAGAACACCTATAGCCCCACCTCATGCCACATCCAAGGCCCTACTTCATGCCAACACCCCAAATCCCTGCCTCATGCTGATGCCTGGGGCCCCCACCACACACCCTCACCACAAATTTCTACCTCATTGACACCCTCACACGTCTATCTCATTTCCACCCCCCCAGAGCCCCTATCCCACACCAATACCTCATAATCACTGCCCCTCCACCACATCCATCACCACCCTCACTCAAGCATGCTGTTATCTCTCCATCATCCTCCTGCTCTGAGGCAGAAAAACCCACAACCATAGGTAGGGAGTGGGTCACCCCCACGACCTTGTGCTGCATCCTCACCCCTCCTGTTACCCCCGCTCAGCTTCTCCACAGCAGATGCCACCTTGCATTTTACCCCTTCACCTGCCCACGGCTGAGTCTGCTGAGGCTCCGTTAGGAAATCACACATGGCTGGCTCAACGTGCGCACACCTATGAGTGCAGCTGGGACAGGTACCTCCACCCCAGGCTCCGCTCCCAGCACGGCGGGGGCAGAGAGTCCTCCGGAGGCAGAAAGGCCCTCCATGTCGGGGTACACCATATCCCCATGAGTCTGCTTGAGTGCAGGTATCAGCCACTGGACCTCTGACTCTACAACCCTGGGGCTCTCCTGCCCACTGCCAGGCCCAGGACCCAGTCTCCCTATGGGACCCCATGGTGGAACCCATTCTTTTCCATGTGCCACCCTGGAGAAACCCCAAGGGGGCATTTCCCAGGCTTGAGCTGGAGAAGCAGTCAGGCCTCGTCCAGATTTACAGGATGGACTTCTCCCCACGCCGTGAGTGCTGCCAAGGATGGTCCAGGGTGGGAGGCTGAGCAAGGGCTTCTCCCTGCAGGGCCTCAGTGTCCCTCCACCACACAAGGCTGAATGAGGGCGGCTCCTGGAAGGGACAGTGCTCCACTCACATACCCTTTCAGAAGGCTGTCAGGTACCACCTTCCTTCCAGAAGGTGTAGGGCTGCCAGGGACCACCTGGAGCCCCCTTCTGGAGCTAACTCACACAGACACACTAGCCCAGCTACTTCAACCAGGTAAGACTTTTCACAGGGCAGACACCGAAGCCCAGACCATATTCACCCAGAGCTCGTTGAATGAATAACTGACGACACTGGGTCCCAGTGTTTGCTGAATGAACAGTCGGCAATGGTCCCAATGTCTGCTGAGCGAGTAACAAGGCAAGCCCAAGGACCCATTCAGTGTTTGCTGAGTGAGTAACAGACGAAGCCAGTCCAGGGCTGGGCAGCAGCCCCCAGGAGACCACCCTTCCCTGCCCACCTGCCTGGCCCTGAGCTGGAGCACAGCCTCCCTCTCCCCACCACCACCCTCACATGCAGAGCCTGGGCCTCCTGCTCTGTCAGGACCCTGATCTACAGTGCCCAGACACTGGATCTGGAAAGAGGTCTGGGCACACAGAGGGGAGCAGTATTCATCGTGGGAGTCCACCCACCGTGGGAGCCCACAACAGGCCTGAGCCAAGCCAAGCCCTGGAGGCCTCAAGGGAAACCCCAAGTCCCTTCCAGGGAAAGAGCGGGAGGGAGCAGCTGGGGCGAGAGCCCCGGACACTAGCCTGAGTCACAGACTGACTGACGCCCAAGGGGGAGGCGGATGTCCTGGCTCCAGCCCCAGTGCCACCCGGCAGATGGGAAACTGAGGCCGGACTGAACAGCCCGCGGGGCTGAAACGAGCCTGAGCCTCAGTTTCCCCATCGGTGCGGGCAGCCGAGCTCGGGTCAGCCAAAGGGCGACCATGGGGCAGTGGCCACTCACATGAGGTCCGGCCGGTGGCGGTGCAGGATGGCGCAGAAGGCCAGGCCGTCCCGGAACGACGTGGTCATGTTGGTGATGTTCACGTCCCGGTAGCCCTCGCACTGCTGCCGGCACCATTGCTGCAGCGCCTTGATGGCGGCCATGCGGGCAGCGGCGTGCCGGCCGGCGGAACCGGACTGGGCGCACCAGGAAAAGTCCCTCGCCGTTCCCGGGACAGGACCCCGGCTCAACCCCCCCTGGAGCGCGCACCCGGCTCGGCCTGCAGACCGGCAGATGGGGGGACTGACGGTAGAGCAAGACCCAGCGGGTTAGAGGAGAAAGGGCAGCCCGGCGGCCGCAAGCAAGCGCGGGCCAGCCCGCCAGGACACGTCCCGCCCCACTCGGGACAAAGCCCCGCCCAGACCCTGCCCCCGACACGCCCCCAGCCCGCCAGGACACGCCCTGCCCCGGCAAAGTCCCGCCCAGACCCCCTCCCCCAGCATACCAGGACACGCCCCGCCCCGCTAAGGCAAAGCCCCGCCCCGACCACGCCCCCTCTCGAATCAAGCCCGCGTCCCGCTGATCCGCGAGGCCACGCCCACGGCCCGCCCCCCAATCAGACCATTCCTCCCCACCATCTATGGTCACGCCCACAGCCAGGCTCCGCGACCCACAGGACCTTGCCAGGAACACAATCTACCTGCCCACCCCGCCCACCATCTGGCCCGCCCCACTACCAATTCACTTTGTCCCCGCCCCATGACACGCCCATCCCAAAGGCCCCACCTTTGTGCCTGGCCACGCCTCCACCTGGGACTGTCAGAGCATCGGAACAGCTGCCATCCAGGCCACGCCCCGGTCTCACCCGCCTTCCTGTTGTAGTCCCGCCCCTTTTATAGGGAGAGGGGTGGGGTCTCGAGCAGAGCCAGACCTAGGGTCCAGGGGAGTGAAACCCACCCCGCCCTGGGAGTCCTGTCCCCACTCTGGCTGACTTTGTCTTTGTTTTCAATGCTCCACCTCCACCTTATCCCCAAGATGACGACGCCAATGAAAAGTCCAGTTTACAGATGAGCAAACAGAGGCTCAAACCGCCTAAGGTCAAGAAATGTTTGGGCCAGCCAACTCTGGGCAGCTGAGCTCTCTGGGGAGGCTGCATCCGGCTCCGGGCGGCCAGGAACACGCCTAGCATTTACAGTCTTCAAAAGGCCTTCCGCCTGCGTGGTGCCAGCGCCCACCCTGTGTGCTGTGGGGGGCGTCCCTCTGGATAGTTCCAAACCATGTCCCCAGCTCAGGAGGCCTGTCCACCCACGCTGTCCCTGGAGCAGGGGATTTCCCAGGGAATCGAGTCAATTGTTCTGTTTCCCAATTTTCCGTTTTCATCATTTGTGCAATTAGGAAAAGTAACTGCATGCCTCTGTGTAACCTGGGGGGCAGTCCCCACCCCCACTCTCCCAGTGGATTGGACCAAGCAGGAAGGACTGACAGATGAGACAGCCCCTCACCCGATCTCTGCTCCAGGACACGTCCAGACTTCACCAGGATCTGCCAGGCCCAGGCAGAGCTGCAGAAAGCTGTTTCCAGAAGCAGCACGTTAGGGAGTGGGCAGTATCTGAGGCTGGGGCCACAGGTTAGATGCCTTGGCTGCCCCATAATGTGAGTGAGGGCCATGTGTGGTGGTGAGTGCCCTGTTCCAGGGAGCATGCAAGCAAGTAAAGCCTTATGACCTAGGATGGCTACTGTCCAGAGATCAGGACCTGCCAGTGGGGCTCCAGAAAGGGAGCAAAGGGCGACTTCAAGCCAAGTTGTCTGGGGCTTGTCTTGGAACTGGGTTTTCTTGACCCAGGACACCCCTTAGAACTGGAAAATCCTCTAAGGAAGGGACAGGGCAGGGTGGTGAGATGTCAGGTTGGGGCCATGGGGTGGGGCCTGGAACCCACCCTGCCCCCACTCTCCCCATGGAACCTCTCTGGGGACAGTTGTCCAACAGGCCCTCCCATCAGTCCCGCAGCTTTGTCCTTCCCTCACCAGTGCCCAGGAGCCCAGTGACACCTGGGTGTTGGATCTCTAACCTGCCCTTTCCCCTGAGGTGACCAAAATATCCATTGAGTCTGTGAAGCATTTGTATCATCTAGGGACTTCCTCTCCTGAGGAACCCAGACCAGGACCAAGACTCCCTCAGATGTGCCACTCTGCCACTGACCTCCACAGTCCCAAGACCCACCTACAAAGTAGACCTGGCTGTGCCCCACCAACTCACAGCTTCCCTGCTGCCCTGAGTAAAGTCCAGTCCCTGTCACATTGCCTGGCCTTGTGGCCAGCTGGCCCATGCTTATCACTCCTGCCAGCCATGGCCGCTCCCTGCCGCACCCTCTGCTTTGGAGTGGGGAGCACCTACTCCTGCCGCCCTTCCTCTCCCTCAGCCCCAGTTGGTCCGCACGCCTGCTCCATTTTGGCCATTCTACTGCCCTCTCCAAGAACCCAGCCAGGCACCCATGAGCCCCGCAGTCAGTCAGGGTCCCACCTGGCTCCTCGTCACTCTGGGCTTCCAGCCACACAGCCCCTCCTTCCCAGGGACCTGCAGCTGGAGACCTCCCCCATCAGCTGGATGCTTCCTCCCTGGGGGTGGGGTTGTTGCTGCAATGACTGAGGGGCCTTCAGCCCACTGCTTTCCTGGAGACATTTATGCCCATTGTCTTCTCCCCACTCGCACACCTGGCACTCACCCTCACCACCTTCCCACTGCAAAGTGTGCGGTCACAGCGAAATGGGGACTCTGCTGGGAAGGGGCCTGGAGATGAGGTAGCAGGGTGTACATGCCCCCCAGTTCCTTAGGTACACAGCAGGCATTCAGTAGATGTAGCTTCACACAGTCACCTTGAGGCCATGGCTGGGGAATAGGGGTGCTGTGTGCACCAGGCAGGCCCAGGAGGGGCTTCAGCCCCCAAGCCCTTCAGTGTACAGACTCCAGACCAGGGTTTCTGTCTGGAGTAGAGGCGGGAGGGGATGCCTCATGATTTTTTGTAAAAGCAGTACTTATTGTAGAAGGTCCAGCTACAAAATGTAAAAAAACAAAAGGAAATGAACATCCCAGGCTTCAGTGCAAAATTCACCAAGTCTGCTCCTGGAAGGTGGCCTGCAGTTAGGTGGGCAGCTGATGCCCACTGGTCTCCATGCACACTGCACCAGGGCAGACCAGGGAGCTCACGGGCGGGCCCATTGTGAGGCACTCTTGCAAGCACACGGTCAGCCTGGTGGTGTCCTGCAGGCCCGACTCCCCACGGTGTGACAGAAGGAAACCTTGCCCTGCCCTCTCCGTCCTCAGTGGCTGCTGTGCTCGGCCCCTACCTGCGGCCACCACATCAGCCCACTTCATGGAGGGCCTGCCGAGCATGTCCTTCTCTGGGGACTGGTCCCTCCTGATGGCATGTGAGTACATGACAGACAGCAGGCCTCACCAGGCTCTTCTCTCCGAAGCACCGCACTTCTTCCAGGACAGAGCTGCTGTCTTGCTGGTAGTCCTGGCTGTGCTCTTTGCCAGCATCCTTCATTCCAAGGCACTGATCCTTCTTCGCTCTCCATTGTCCAGCTTTTACACACAGGGGAGGTGACTGATAGGACCACTATCTTAGCCAATTCAGACTCCAGGTGGCCCTCCGCTGGGGAGCTGAAGCTCAGCATGTTAACTGGCCAGCACTCATCATTCTCTGGTAAACTCCAACTCCAGAGCTGGTGACCAGCGGCCTGGTGCTTCATGTGCTGCACCACCAAAGTTCTGGAGGGAGAACCCAGAAGTCAGGAGAATTGCACCCTGAGCAGAATCAGCAATGCCCTGTAGCAGGAACAGAGGCACCCACAGCACCAAAGCTGGAGAAGGGCTGGTGCTGCGGACCTGTGTCCAGAGAATTGGGGGTGGAGGTGCGGAAGGGTGCAGTTGGAGAAGCCTCACCATCCTCAGGCCCCCTTTCCCCACCCCCCCCGCCCTCCATTCCATCCACCCTTTTCTCACCACCACCCTTTAAATGGGTGACTGTACCCGTTGTGCAGCTAAGGAAACTGAGGCTCAGAGACGAGCCTCAGGTCAGCCCTGCAGAGGCTAAAGGATGGAGTCAGGCCTAGTGGCTGCTGCAGTCCAGGGGGGCCAGGACACCCTGTGTGTCTTCCCCTTTCAAGGCGGGTGGCAGGAGTGGTGCTACAGGCCGAGGAAGGACAGGCCACTAGTCTGAACCCCAAGGCCAGCTTGGGATATTGCAAGCTGGTACCTGAGGGCTGGGCCAAGGGCCTGTAGACTCTTCAGTGGTGACTTAACCCCAAACACTGACTCAGGTCAAGCTGCTCACTGGCCCAGGAGGCAAATCCAGGTCACAGAGATGAAGCAGGTGTTTCCCACGCAGCGTGGGCCTTCCCAAGAGACTCTTCAGTGCCTTTCTCACTTGCTCGACTGGTTGGCCCCAAACTACCCCATCCGCAGAACCCACACTTTAGTCTCAGTTGTATCTACATGATAAAATCTGGGCTGCTAGCTGAAAGGTTGATGGTTTGAATCCACCAGCTACTCCATGAAAAAACGATGGACAGTTTCCTCATATTGACTGACAGCTTTGTGACCCGGAAGGCAGGTGGCTGGGCTTGGGGTCAGATATGGGCCGGGTTGGTGTCCTCGTTGTGGCCTTGTGGAAGGGACATCCACATCTGCACGTAACTCAGGGGTTTTTGTCTTGGAAGGAGTGGAGCTGGTGGGTCCCCAGAGGCCACCCTGCCCAATCACCAAGCTGTGGCCAGCAGACTTCACTCAGTGGTGGTGGGTCACTGATAACACCCTTGACCCCAGGTGGGAATGGGAGCCTAGAAGCTGGGCATGTTTTAAAGATCCACCATGGGATTGTAGTGGTGTAGTGCATCAGAAGTTATGCTAACCAACAGGTCCGTAGTTCAAACCCACCAGATGCTCCACAAGAGAAAAATCGGCAATCTCATCTCACATGACAACCTCCGGCCTCGGAAGCACGCTGGAGCGTCACTGAATCAGAGCCAGTTCAACCGCGGTGGGAGTCCACACACGTTGCTATTGTTAGGGGCCACCAATGACCCCAGCACCCCTGAACTACAGACCTGCACCCTGGCCTCTCCTGTGCCATCCTCACCATCTTGGACACAATTGAGCTGGTCACTGGGGGTCTTCCTCTCTTGTGTGCATCCACTCCATCCAGTGGACTCTGACTTGGAGCAGCTGTGTGGACAGGACCAAGCGGCCCCAGCTGCCCCCTACCTACAGGGACACGCCACCTTACCTGTCCACAGTGGCCAGTGGTTTTGCACTCCTGACCATTCCAATTCCTTGACCACAGTGTCACCGGGCCCCTCAGTCACAGCCAAGGGCCAGTTAGTGTGCCACCTGGGCTGGACAATCACGGCTCCTCCATGCCTGACCTCGCCCCTAGCAGTGGGGTCCTGGCACATGGCTGGGAGTCAGCCTGTCCACCTCATCACGATGGCATTGCTGGGCACACAGCGACAGCTCCATCACCACCCTCTCCATTATTCATGGTTTCCCCCACGGTGGCAGTGTGGCGTCGTGCACGGCACATTATAAATATTTGATCCGGTGTCTACAGCCAGCCATTTATCATTTATAACGGGTTACAAAAACATTATAAAACATTTACCACACGTTTATACATCATTTTCAGCTACTCAACGATGTGTGATAAATACATTATTAATCCTCTCTGGCGTCTATGGAAACCCTACTAAGGCCTGGACTCTCCTTCCCATGCAAGTGGCTGGGGGCGGGGGCGAGCAGCCTGGCCATTGTACACAGTGCCCCCTGCCCACCATGTACCTCTCTGCTGCATGCACCCCCACTCCTGTCCACTATGTACCCCTACTCCAGTCTGTATGGCCTCTTCACCAGCCCATCTGACGGGCAGGGACTCGGCTGGGAGACGAGGCAGCTGGCCTCAACATGCTCAATGTACCCCACCTCCAGAGGTACCTGTGGAGTGAGAGCAGTTCGGAGGGCTCTGCAAGCCTAGACAAAGCAGGGCGGGGAGCCCCAGGAAGGAGGACAAAGGTGGAAAGACAGATTGGGACCGGGCACTTGTGCCTGCAGGGCTCCTGTGGCCACCTCCTGCCATCTCTTGAGTCTGCCCTCTTGTGGCCTGTGCTGTGATGCCCATCACATGGGGAGCACCTGGGAAGGTGTCCACAGCACACCCCTCGTGCAGAGCTGGACTCTCACAGCACTGCCCTCCCTGAGGCCAGAGGGGCTCCCATCCTAGCACATCCCTCCTCCCATCTAGAAGCCCCCCACTGTGCTAGGCCCCATGGGTCCCACTGAGTGACCCTGTGTAGAGTCTGGGCTGAAATGTCAGGGGCCACAGCAAGACACCAAGCTCGGGTTACTCCTGGAAAATTATTCCGCTGTCTAGCTTGTCCACAGGTCAGGAGCCTGAGGGCTTTCACCAAGCCCCAGGACAACCCCAGGGAACAGCCTTTTTAGGGAGGGGAGCAACAGCTGTTCTGGGACAACGGTAACTTGCTTGCAACCAGGACAGCTGAAATGACACCATCACCCCTCCTGATAATGGCCAGGGACACTCCTGGGCCAGGCTATCCAGGCTCCAGGACACTGAGGCCCCCAGCTCCTCCTACTCCCATGACGGGCCCCAGTGAACTTGGGGCCTGTGGCCCAGGCGGTCTGCAGATCAAGGCGTGTCCCTTCGCAGATCAGGAAATGAAACTGGAGGCCTTGTTAAGTCCCCACCTGTGAGGGCACCCAGAGATGTTCAGTCTCCTTCCCCAGGAGTAATGGTCTCAGGTAGCCTCTGGAGGTGGGGAGCTATCACCCACCCCTTTGGGGCACACACACTCAAGCTCTTGGGGGGCATGACGTATGTGACAGTGACAGGGAACTGGAACATGACGACCCAACCCTGGCCTGTGATCCCCGGTGATGGACCCAAAACCCCGAGGGTGGGACCTGAGTGTAACCATAGTGACAGGGCACGCAGACTCCTCATGGGACAGAGTCCAGGTGGGGGCCCATCACCAGGCAGGGTGGAGGAGGACCCCTCATGGAGGGCGGGAGGGGGGTGGAGGCAGAGAAACACGGAGGAAGAGGACACTTGGCCTGCTCCTGGGCTCGGAGCATGGACAAGTGGCTGTGGTGGGTGCCCTGCGGCACACTGACCCATCCTGCTCTGTCCTGCCCCCGCACTGGCTGTGTCCTGGCTCTCCTACCAAGGACCTCCTAGAGCCACAGCGCCCCCTGGTGGCTCTCACCTCCTAGTCCACGCTGGGCAAGCCTGGCTGGGCGGCAGAGAATCCTGACAAGGGTACCTGCTGAGGGGGCACTGAGGGGTGCCTGTCACCCAGCCACACTGAGGGCACTGTTCGCCATCACTGGCTTCCAAGAAGTGGACACTTCTCACAGATCAGGGGGAGGCAGTCAGCAGCAAGGGCAGGTCCTCCTACCAGGCCCACAGGCAGCATGGCTACAAGCCTCCCACAGCGGAGACCCCAGGCTTGAGCTGTGGCACCCTCCTTCCACATCGGCTCCTGAGTGAGGGGTGATGGGGCAGGGCAGGGGACCAGAATGCGCAGTACCATCTCCTGGGACCCTTTGAGGTGGGGCTCAGCCTCAGCGGTAACCTGTCAACGGCACTGGCCTTGGGTCCCCTCTAGACCTCCGGCACCTAGAAGAGACACCCCCGACGTCCTGGGCCCCAACCCTGAGGCATGGCCACAAGGATGAAGGCAGAAAGCAAGATCAGAGGTTTCATTCGAAGAGGCAGTGAAGACCAGCGCCTGCCCCTCTGCCGGGCACCATGTGGTCGGTCACCCTGCAGACGGCCCCACATCCCTGTGAGACTGCCAACGCCTCCTGGGCTGTTCACTGTCTGTGCCCTCCCAGAGGTGCCTCCAGTGCGACACGGGACAGCGGTCACATGACGGCCTCCATGTGCAGGGCCCGCAGGGCCTCGGAGATCTGGGTGCTGGTGTCCACCTGGCCGTACATGCCCACCAGGAAGGCGCGGTGCAGCAGCACGACTGCATGCTCTGTGGGAGAGACGGTGCTCAGGGCTAGGGTGGGGTGGGGGGCAGATCTCAGGCTGGGGCACGTGGATGGTGGGGATGAGCTGACAGAGGGGCGTGGGCCAGGCAGAGGGAGACGGGAGGCCAGCAGGGCATGGAGGCAGGTGGGGAATGGACAAGGCTGATCGTGGGGTGCGGGTCAGGCAGGGAGATAGCAGACAGCGGGGCATGGGCCAGCCTGGGAGCCAGGTGACATCGGGTGCTGACCTTGGCAGAGCAGGGTGTACTCGGGTAGGTTCCGGAGGGCCGTCTGCACCACCTCCAGGTCACGACTCCCCAGGCAATACATGAAGGTGGGCAGAAAGTCAGCTGCAATGCTGTGGAGGCACATGGGTGAGACCCCGATTGCCACTGCCAGTGCTCCCGAGTGCCCGTGCAGCAGCCCAGACCCTGACTGAGGGCACGTGGGGCCCAGGTTGGGAGACACAGGTGTGGGGATGTAGCTGTGGGGTTGGGGGACATGGTTTGGGGGCTGGGGTGAGGTAAGTACGAGGCAGGTCCACTCCCTCACCTGGGGTTGTTCTGGATGGAACGCAGGGCCAGGCTGAAGGCCAGGTTGCGGCAAGGCTCCTCAGCCGAGCTCATCAGACGCTGCAGGTTGGTCTAGGGGGCAGGGCGGTGTTAGCCGGTGCCCACTCCTGTACTGAGCTCGCACACGTGAAGGTGGCAGGAGAGTCCAGTGGGGGTATTCCCTGCGTGCCTTCCCCACCAGGAAGCCCAGGATTCCCCCTGCTAAGCCTCCCGGTGCCCCATGCCTCTTCCCTTCTCCACCCCTCACCGAGAAGAAGCCCAGGACCTCAGGCCTGCGCCAGGACACCTCCTCCAGGTCACTCAGCACCTCCAGCAGATCTGAGCAGGCAGAGATGGGGACAGGGGTCAGGTAAGACACACCAAAGTGTTCAGGGCATCTGAGGGGCCTGTCCTGGTCCCTCCCTTGGGCATGCTGAGACCCAGGACTTCCAGTATCGTGGGGTGGTGGTTAGGTGTCCAAGTTTACAATCGGGCTCGCTTCCCAATTTGAGACCAGCGAGGCCCTGTCCCCTGGGTGTCAGCCCCAGACCCCCGTGAGAAGGGTTCAGGGGGACCCAGGCTCTCTGCGCGGCTGTGAAAAGACCATCCTGAAACCTCACAGCAGGGGGTCCCACTCATGACCCTCTGCACCCCACATACGCCACCCCACACCCAGCTCAACCCTCAGCAGGGTGGGCAGGCTCCGACCTCTCCTGGAACTGCCTGCTACCGACTCTCCCTGAAGCCCCCAGCTGCTCAGGGATGCCAGGTCTCCCCATATCCCAGCTGCACAGGGGTACTGGGGACTCCTTGTACCCGGGCTCCTCAGGGATCCCCGGGTTCCCCACACCTGGCTGCGTGGGGTCCTCTCCTTTAGGGGGGCTGCCGACTCACCTTCGACAGTTTGGCCTCGGGACAACCTCTTCATGTAAGGAGCCATCTCGGCAGCAGTCAGGGGCGTGAAAAGGGAGACGCTGACCAAGGGCAGGGAGCCAGCTGGGCCGTCGTCTGGGCAAGAAGACAAGGGCCTCCTGGTCAGCTGGGTGAGCGGGGAGCAGTGCCCACACACACTGGCCACCCTAGCGAGAGGCAGCCACCTGTCCCACGTGGGCAGCTGAGGCAGGAGACACTCACCCTCGCCCTCCTCGTCCAGGCTGTGGTCAGTGACAGTGCTGCTGCTGGGCAGGCTCAGCCCTGCCAGGAGGGACTTGAGCATCACTAGGTCACTGTTGTCGGAGGACAGGTCACTGGAGAGGAGAGCAAGGTCAGAGGGAGGGAAAGGACAGAGACAGGGAGAGGGGCCTGGGTGTGAGGTGTGGGTAGGGTGGACACAAAGGGGAACCCAGGGGGCGAGGTGTGCCATGTGTGGAGGGGAAGGACAGAGACAGGGGACTGGTGTGAGGTGTGGGGAGATTGGACAGAGGGATTCCAGGGGGACGTAAAGGACAGGGAGAGGGGACCCCAGGAGAACAGGGTGTGCTATGTGGGGAGGGTGCACATAGAGGGGACTCCAGGAGAGTGGGGTGTGCTATGTGGGGAGGGTGGAGACAGAAGAGACCCCAGGGAAGGGTGCTAGCCATCAGCTCTACATGGATGGAGAAGACCCCCTGGCCTGAGATGCTCCCTCACTGTCCTGGACTCCAGCAACACACTCAACTGGCCCCAGATCCACTTTGACAGGGCATGTCCACTGTGTGTGGGGCGGGCCAGTAAGGGCAGCTGTGGCACTTGGATTGGGGTACATGGGGGCAGGTTATGGCACCTCGGGTGCAGGGGTACAGAAAGGGGTGGAAATATGGTGGAGGCCAGAGGTTGGGCCCCCAGGAGCAGTGGTGCATGGGAAAGGGTATGGTCAGGGACCCCGAGTGGAAATATGAAAGTATGGAAGGAGACACTGGCTGTGGTCGCAGGAGCAGGGTGACCAGGAAAGCAGGGAGGGCAGGCCCTCCAGGAGCTGGAGTACGCTAAGAGGGGGACAAACTGCAGTCCCAGGAATAGGGGTACGGGGGAGAGGTGCTGGCGGGCACCTGGAGTGTAGCAGTACGGTAAGTAGGAAACACAGGCCATGGCCCCAGGAATGGGGGTATGGGCAGAGCTGTAGAAGGCAACCTGGGAGCTGGGGCAGGGTGAGGGGGACAGGCTGTGTCCCTGGGAGTGGGAGCACAGGGAGGGCACTGTGGCGGGGGTGAGCACACACTGGAGGGTGTCGGCATGTTTCTGTAGAAAGGCCACGGCCGCCGGGGCATTACAGGTGATGTACTTGTGGACCAGCTGCACGAACTTGCTGATGAAGGGAGCCAGGTGCCGGGAGGACTTGCGGTAGTTCTGTGCAGGAGGGGGGACGTGTCACACGGGTGACTGAGAGATGGACGGTCAGAGTCCTCTCTGGGCTCACGGTGCAAGCATAATAGAATGGGGACCACGAGGGGATCTCATTAAATGCTTGGAATTCACTCAGCACATGAGGGGCGGGGGAGGCCGGTGGAGGCCAGAGAGCCCACAGGACCAGCTGCCCAGCCCTGCCCACCACGCCGGATGTGAGGAGGCCGTTCTTAGAAATGGAGAGGGGAACAGGAGAGCGAGCACCCCAGGGAATGCTTCAGGACTCGGGAGTGCTGGGGGGTCACAGGCAGGGTGCACCAGTCCAAGCACCCCCTGGATCCCCACTCAGGCAGAGCCCCAGTATCAGGTGCAGCTCCCCACACCGGGCCGGTCTTCCTTCCTCAGGGGTCCCCACGTTGCCCCCCCCAGGCAGACCCCCACTGACCAGCAGCAGCCGCACGAAGGACAGCAGGCAGTCCCACAGCGCCCCCTGGTGCTCGCTGCGGAACACGAGCGGCTGCAGCAGCTCCAGCACGCCCAGCACGTGCAGGAAGAAGGTCAGGTGGTTCTGCTGGCGGAACTCCTGGAAGTTGAGGTGCGTGCGCCCGTGCAGCAGAGCGGCCAGCATGGGCAGATGCCTGCGGCAGAGGGACCACTCCGTCAGCACGGCTCCCCCGGGCGTGACGGGTGGGCTCTGGGCCAGGCTGTCCCACACCGGAGGCTCGAGCCACGGACGGGCACCTGAGCAGGAGGACGGGGTGAGCCACTGCCAGCTTCCGACACACCATGTTGGCATCCGCCACGCGGCTCTCAGACGAGCGGGAGTCACTGGTGTCCGCCAGTAGGGTGATGAAGCGGTGGGTGAGGCCGTCCAGCTGTGACACGTCAGAGAAGGGCTGGGGGGCTGACCGCGACCTCACCAGCCCACCTGCCCATCGCCACCAAGGGGCCACCTGGCCCACCTGACGGGGTTAGGACGGAGTTAGGGGAGGCGTGGAGGCAGGCCCCAGGTGGACAGCACCAGACAGGGAAACCATCTCCCTGTCTCCCCAGGACTTTTCTGGAAGCTTCCACAGGTCCCCAGACCATGGCCAAATGCCCCCACACCCAAAGCCGTTGGGTAATTCCAGCTCACAGCAGCCCTGAAGGCACAGCACTGTCCACGGGGTCTCTCAGCTAGAGAAAACGTGTCTGTTCCCGAGCCTGAATTTCTAGTCACGGTGGAGGGTGGGCGCGGCCTTGCCCCAGGACTGCTGGTCACTGAGGTGGCCAAGGCCAGGACAGCATCTGGCACTCACCTTGCAGACACTGCTGCCAGGGGCCCCCTGGCCATGCAGCAGGACCTCAGGCACCGGGCCCCGCAGCTCCGGCCGCTGCAGGTACATCTGCACAAGTAGCTCTCGGCAGCGTCTGCCCACCACGCTGGAGGGGACCGGCCTCAGGGTCAGTGACGGCGGACATGCAGATGCTGCAGCACCTACACTCCCTCCACGGCCAAGGTTCCCCACAGAACGAGGGGCAGCAAGAGGCACAGCCACGTCAACAAGCCTAGATTTACCTCCCCTGGTCTCCCTACCAGCAGGCACGCGGGGACCCATTGTCAGAGGCCTCACCTGTCTCCCTGCTGAGCACAGCCCACCCAGCACCCTCACTCATGCCCTGATTGCTGGACACAGCCCCCTCACCTGTCCCCCCACTGCTGGACACGGCTGGTCAGGTGCTCCGTCACCTTCTGGACGCCCTCGTCCACTCCGTGGCAACAGCTGAGCAGCAGGGGCAGCCGGGCCTGGATGAGGCTGCAGGAGGCTTCGTCGGCCTCCAGGCTGCGCGCTTCCGGCTCCGCCAGGATTAGGTCCACCAGACTGATGAGCTCAGGGGCCCGCACACGCAGCACCAGCTCCTCCCGCCGTTTCTGAGGCCCACACGGCAGTCAGCCCAGTACACGCGTGGACGCCCCAGGCCACCTCCATGACCCCCGCCATGCGCAGACATGACACACGCCCTGCACCAGCTCCTCCCCCGCTTCTGCGGCCCGGACGGCATCACCCTGCATGTGCTGGAAGCCCACCACTGCACAGCTCAGTGCTAGAGATGTGGCCCCCCACGACCACACACACCATCATCCCCACTGCCAGGCTTGCCTCATTAGTCACATCCTCACCCTAGCCACACATCACCTGTCATGGCCCTCGCCCCACACGCCGCACCTCAGACACGCCCACCGTCACCCCACATCCCCATCACAGTCTTTCAGGAGCTGCATCTGAAGACTCACCTGAGGCGTGCGCTGGTCCCGGCCCTGCCAGATACGTGGAATGTGGATGCAGGCCCAGAGGAAATCCAGAGAGGCTGAGGGGTCAAGCCTGGGGAGACAAGGGATTTGCAGCTCAGGGTCCACGGCACCAGGACGGCAGTGACACAACGAAAGGAAAAAAACTTCAGACAACCAGGCTCAGTGCCCTGGAGGGCGGAATGGTGACTCCCTCTGAGCACAGGGGCCGGCTCGGGCTGGGGACGTCTCCTATGGGGCAGGGCGGGTGCTGGAGCCACTACTGGGGTACCACATAGAGAATAAAGGGGTGTCTGCTGGGCACTCAGAGCTGCTCACCCTGGTCAAGCCCAGGACAGACACCGGCACCTACACCCTGGGGGAGGGTCACTGCCAGGAAGTAGGGAGGGCTGGGACACCGCTGTGGGGGTGGGGGCTGACCTGGGATCACTGCATCCCAAGGGATGTTGGGAAAGTGGACAGATGAGGATACACACTAGGGGTGAGGGCTGCTCCTCTGGGGGACTGCCCCCTCAGGGAGGTCAGCCTTCACCTCCGGGGGAACCACCCCCTTGGAGAGATCAGCCTGTTCCTCTGACAAGATTGCACTGAGGAGGCAGCCTGCTCCCCAGGGGGGACCATGCCATTGGAGAGATCAGCCTCTACCCATCAGGGAGGCCGGTCTGCTCCCCCGGGCACCCACCTGTGCTCGCGGCTCCTCCCCAGGAGTGTGTGGACACAGCGGTGCAGTGTGGCCCAGTTGGACTGGTGGGTGAGCAGTGCCAGGAGGTAGGGCCGGAAGGACAGTGCCTGGGGGCCAGCATGGCCTTTGCCCTGGAGAGGAGGAATGCTGTAAGGGCTGGGGGGCTGCTGCGGCCATGGCTTCACTCTAGCCATCCCCCCAGAGGTTCCTGGCCATGATGCTAGTGGAGGACCTGTGAGTCTCAGGACGGAGGCACTGGGAGGCCCTGTGACCCCCACTCCATCCCCTGGTGGCTCAAAAGGAGACAGGTCTGGTTAAAACAAGGGGATGAGCGAAGCTCTGGGCTGTCCCCCAGCTTAGCTGACGGAGACACAGGGCCATCTACCCCAGTCAGGCCACACCCACCCCATACCACGGCCCCCTCACCTGGTTCCGGGAGAACAGGAGCCTCAGTTGCAGGTCCGGGCAGCTGCCGACCACCTCAGGGTCCAGCATCTCCAGCCAGTCAACGAGCAGCCCTGAGCAGGGTCCCAGGCGCACTGTCTCTGGGCTAAGTGGGAGCAGGGTCACCGGGCTGCCGTCAGGGGTGCCAGTCCCAGCCCTCCCGGTTTCCCCGGGCCGCCTCTCTGCTCACCTGCAGCCGTCCAGGGTTGGCGTGCCTGGTGCCGCAGGCTCCTCCTCCTGCAGCAGGAGGGAGCTGACCACGGCCACCGGCCTGGAGGTGGCGCACACAGACACGGGGTTCAGAGGGGCGGTGAAGAGTGCAGCCAGCAGCTCCTCCAGGTGGGGGGAGTGCACCTCCATAAGACCCCTGAGGACTGTAAGGAAGGACGCTGTGTCCACACTGACCCCCAGGCCCACCAGCTGCCCGCCCAGCTGGAATGAGGCTTTGGGGACAATGGACAAGGGGAAGCAGGACTGAGTAGCAGTCTTGGATGGGAGGGAGGGCACGGCAGGCCTGTTGAGAAGGACCACTCTGGCTGAAGAGCCCAACAGTGAGGCAGGACAGGCTCTGGGCGTGGAATGGGGGTGTCCCCGCAAGCCACCCCAAGCCACAAAAGGAGCTAGGCGAGTTCCACGTTCTACCTGGTTTGACGGCAGCAAGGCCTGGGGTGGTACGTACCTTTGCCAACCAGCTCCGGCTCCAAGCTGCACTCCTCCCCAGACCTGAGGGTGGCTGTGACGGCTCGCACCATAGAGACCACTGTCTCCGAGTCCTGTCGGCAGGACAGGGCATCCGCCAAGTGCAAAAGCCCAGTCCGGACTGCGAGAGGACATCATCAGGAGGGCGCCCTGGTCCAGCTCCTCCCCCAATCATTAACATTCGGGACTCTGCTTCACAAAGCACCTCCCTAATACCCCATCACATCCGGGCCCCTCAGGTGCTCTGTCCTGCCCCACATCACCCACTCACCGTCACCAGCCCTGTGCTGGGCTGGGTACCGGCCGGCCAAGAGTCGGAGCTGGGCCAGCAGGGGCCCAGGCTCCACAGCGCGGCCCTCGAGCCACTGCAGCATCTGCGTGAGCACCTTGAGCAGGAGTGACGAGAAGCTGGAGTCCTGGGGCACCTGGCGCTGCAAGACACCCACACTTAGTTACCGTGCCTGGCTGTGCATGCAGGCCAGCACTCCCTGGGTGCAGCCAGCACTCCCCGTGCAGCACCCCGCCGGGTGGCAGCAGAGCTCCCGGGGGCTGGGCCACACCCCGCCACTTGAACACACAGATGCAGATACCTGGTCACCACACCCGTCCCCGTCCATCACACACAGAGACACACACATCCACCACAATACTCTCAAGAGACAAGCAAAAATGCATCTTAATACTCAACACGTAGACGCGCACAGACCTCCCAGGATCGCTGTTAGGAGTCATCCCAGTCAAGTACGACTCTTAGCAACCCTAGGAATAAAAGATCTGAACCCTGTTCTATCCTGTGTCGTCCTCACATTTCCTGACACACCAGAGACTGCAGCTGTCACCATGTCAATCGACCTACTTGAGAGTCTTCCACTCCACTGACCCTCCACCCTTCCTAGCATCATGTTCCTCTCCAAGGAAAAGCCCCTCCTAACAACAGGCCCAAAGTACGTGAGGCGATGCCTCATCAGTCTAACCTCCAGAGAGCGCTGCGTGCACCCTTTCCAAGATATACTTGTTTGGCTTTTGGCCGTCCACGGGAGTTCAGTGCTGTTCTCCAACACTACAGCTAGCAGGCAACAATTCTTCTTCTGTCATCTTTATTCA